GTTCAGCTGTGGAGTCTTGGGTTGGGCCAACATGAACATGCATGGATGCCATAGCAGTTCAATGCATTACTTCTAGACCTTTATAGACCATCAATCAGGACTAAAGCAGCTGATATCCATCAGTAGTGATAGGGGACCGGGCTTATCTCGCAGCACTGACAGGTTTCAGGTGATCTCTTTCTGCCACCTTGTTATCTTCATGTGTTTAATACTTTTTTTTTGTGTCTTTTCACTTTATTACACAAACTCGATTACTGGACTTAAGTACTCAGATGTCTGCATGAAGTAAATACTTGAGTCTATGTTGACATGAGGTGGAGACGTAGAAAAGCCCTTACTGATGAAAATGCTGATGCACTGATCCTCCCCGCTGTTCAGTAGTAGCATCAGATGTTAGTGGTGGATCTGCTAAAGAAATCCCAGTTTTAACAAGTCAGTTTCACCCAAACTGAAAAAAGAATAAAAACTTTTCTGTCTTTTTCCTTCCATAAATTTTTATTTTGTGTTTACACATGAACGTGAAACCCAACGCCGAGCCAGCCAGTCTGTTTGCTGCCTTTATAGTTTCCATATATTTAAAGCTGGTTTTGTTTACTGTAATCATCTTAAATCTCAGGCGATACGAGTCAGCCCAATGTGTCCAACGCACGCTATTTATTCCCTCCAAGATGTTATTTAACAGGCAGAAGGGACTAAAGCTAGTTACAGTGTGTGTGTGTGTGTGTGTGTGCGCGCGCCAGCAGACAGTTTGTCCTCCACCCAGTAATCTTACAGCTGCTTGTCTGGCTTGTTGGAAGGAAAACTTCACCCCTTCACCTAAATTAGACGATTCTGGTTTAATGAATGAATAAATGAATGATCAAATAAATGAACAAAAGTAAGAACAAACACATAATTTAGCAAATAAATAAATAAATAAATGGAGCAAACAAAATATAAAATGAAAAGGCGGCTGCTGCTGATGGATTTTATTTGAGCTCCTCAGTGGCTACGTTAACAGAAAACCAGCTTCTACCCTCAGGGATGGGATTCAGTCCTGATGTTTGTGCGATCAGATGGTTTAACGGTACGTTTAACGTAACGGGTTAACAGCAGCATTCTTTTCATGTCAGGGTCAACCATCAGAGGTCCATTAAGTCCGTTAAGATATTTCTATATATGAACATTTCCCTTTGGACAAAGTAAAAATAAACTTTAATAATAATGCATGAGGAGAACACGCTAACGTCAAACATGCATGAGGAGAACAGGCTAACGTCAAACATGCATGAGGAGAACACGCTAACATCAAACATGCATGAGGAGAACACACTAACGTCAAACATGCATGAGGAGAACAGGCTAACATCAAGCATGCGTGAGGAGAACACACTAACGTCAAACATGAGTGAGGAGAACACGCTAACGTCAAACATGCATGAGAACACGCTAACGTCAAACATGCATGAGAACACGCTGACGTCAAACATGCATGAGAACACGCTGACGTCAAACATGCTTGAGAACACGCTAACGTCAAACATGAATGAGGAGAACACGCTAACGTCAAACATGCATGAGAACACGCTAACGTCAAACATGCATGAGGAGACCACGCTAACGTCAAACATGCATGAGAACACGCTAACGTCAAACATGCATGAGAACATGCTGACGTCAAACATGAATGCGAACACTCTAACGTCAAACATGCATGAGAACACGCTAACGTCAAACATGCATGAGAAGAACACGCTAACGTCAAACATGCATGAGAACATGCTAACGTCAAACATGCATGAGGAGAACACGCTAACGTCAAACATGCATGAGGAGAACACGCTAACGTCAAACATGCATGAGGAGAACGCGCTAATGTCAAACATGCATGAGGAGAACACGCTAACGTCAAACATGAATGAGGAGAACACGCTAAAGTCAAACATGCATGAGGAGAACACGCTAATGTCAAACATGCATGAGGAGAACACGCTAATGTCAAACTTGCATTAGGAGAACAGGCTAACGTCAAGCATGCGTGAGGAGAACACGCTAACGTCAAACATGAATGAGGAGAACATGCTAACGTCAAACATGCATGAGAACACGCTGATGTCAAACATGCATGAGAACACGCTAACGTCAAACATGCATGAGAACACGCTGACGTCAAACATGCATGAGAACATGCTGACGTCAAACATGCTTGAGAACACGCTAACGTCAAACATGAATGAGGAGAACACGCTAACGTCAAACATGCATGAGAACATGCCAACGTCAAACATGCATGAGAACACGCTAATGTCAAACATGCATGAGGAGACCACGCTAACGTCAAACATGCATGAGAACACGCTGACATCAAACATGCATGAGAACATGCTAACGTCAAACATGCATGAGGAGAACATGCTAACGTCAAACATGCATGAGAACACGCTAACGTCAAACATGCATGAGGAGAACACGCTAACGTCAAACATGCATGAGAACACGCTAACGTCAAACATGCATGAGGAGAACGCGCTAATGTCAAACATGCATGAGGAGAACACGCTAACGTCAAACATGCATGAGGAGAACATGCTAAAGTCAAACATGCATGAGGAGAACACGCTAATGTCAAACATGCATGAGGAGAACACGCTAATGTCAAGCATGCGTGAGGAGAACACGCTAACGTCAAACATGAATGAGGAGAACATGCTAACGTCAAACATGCATGAGAACACGCTGATGTCAAACATGCATGAGAACACGCTAACGTCAAACATGCATGAGAACACGCTGACGTCAAACATGCATGAGAACATGCTGACGTCAAACATGCTTGAGAACACGCTAACGTAAAACATGAATGAGGAGAACACGCTAACGTCAAACATGCATGAGAACATGCCAACGTCAAACATGCATGAGAACACGCTAATGTCAAACATGCATGAGGAGACCACGCTAACGTCAAACATGCATGAGAACACGCTGACATCAAACATGCATGAGAACATGCTAACGTCAAACATGCATGAGGAGAACACGCTAACGTCAAACATGCATGAGAACACGCTAACGTCAAACATGCATGAGGAGAACACGCTCACGTCAAACATGCATGAGGAGAACACGCTAACGTCAAACATGATGAGAACACGCTAACGTCAAACATGCACGACAACCCGCTAACGTCAAACATGCATGAGGAGAACACGCTAATGTCAAACATGCATGAGGAGAACACGCTAACCTCAAACATGCATGAGGAGAACACACTAACGTCAAACATGCATGAGGAAAACACGCTAATGTCAAACATGCATGAGGAGAACACGCTAACGTCAAACTTGCATGAGAACATGCTGACGTCAAACATGAATGAGAACACGCTAACGTCAAACATGCATGAGGAGAACATGCTAAGCTCAAACATGCATGAGAACATGCTAACGTCAAACATGCATGAGGAGAACACGCTAACGTCAAACATGCATGAGGAGAACATGCTAAGCTCAAACATGCATGAGAACATGCTAACGTCAAACATGCATGAGGAGAACACGCTAACGTCAAACATGCATGAGGAGAACACGCTAACGTCAAACATGCATAAGAACATGCTAACGTCAAACATGCATTGGGAGAACACGCTAACATTAAACATGCATGAGAACATGCTAACGTCAAACATGCATGAGGAGAACACGCTAACGTCAAACATGCATGAGGAGAACACGCTAACGTCAAACATGCATGAGAACACGCTAACATCAAACATGCATGAGGAGAACACGCTAATGTCAAACATGCATGAGAACACGCTAACATCAAACATGCATGAGAACATACTAACTTCATGCAGAAAAGCAACATTGCTGCAGGGCAACATTGCTGCCATCCTGCAGCCACTTACACACATTTAGATAATTAAAAATAAATAAATAACTAAATAAATGTAATAAACATAAAAAAGGCCTATTTGAAAACATTTCAACCCTGTATTAATATTTCCATAGTAAGATTTTCAACTGTTATACATCATTATTATAAACTTTACATTAAGTTAACACCAAATGAATAAAATTGGAAACAAGGAAAATAGAAACAAAGTTTGTTTTTTTGAGCTAGTAAAAAAAATCCATCAAACATTTGTTCTAATTTCATGAAAATATTTGAGTGTTCTGCTGGTGCTTTCAACATGGCGGTTTAGTCGGAACTGGTTTGGGCTGGGATGGTGGTTCATCTAACTGGTCTCAGGTCTGCTCACCTCTCCGGACCAGCAGCGGCTTGATTTATTAGGCAGAACTTTTTCATGAACCTTGTTTTAATGAGCCGCAGCTTTAGCGTTGCTGATGGTAATGGTGTGTTGGAAAGGCACTTGAACGTAACTCCGTCCTGTTTGGTTTTGCATTGTTATACTTTTCATTTTCAAAGAAAAGACAAAAGCCAGAGAAGCCACAGCTGAAGAACAGAACCACTTCCTTTTTGTTAATGAGGCTCCAAGAACGCCTGCCAGCAGCAGTCCCAATAGTGAAGGCCTGTTTCGCCAGTGGAGGGGTGGGGAGGGGGGGCTAGCTCTGGGGACAGTGTTGCTGAGGGGACCCCTAAACCCCAAATGCCCCCTCCTACCTGGTACAAAAAGTTCTGGAGCGGGCAGCAGAGACGGGCTGTCACTTCCACCCCGGACACGGTCTGCTGCTGCTGCGGGATTCTGCCGGCCCCGTGTTCCTCACAGGCTCCTCTGTGATCAGCAAACCCCAGATCAGCTGACTGGAGACTAACGGGGGGTGGGGGGGTGGGTGTCAGTGAAATATTAAAGATGTCCAACAACAATAATCAAGAAGACACGGAGGATAAGGAAGTGGATGCTGAGGAGAAGGGAAAGGAGGTCAAAGATCCTCCACCTTCTCCTGAGGTCAACGAGACGTCTCCAGCTGAGGAGGACAAGTCTGCTCCCAAACCCCTACTCAACGGGGGGCATCAGTGCCAGCCTGTCAACCGCAGTCTTCTTCTCTTTTCCGCAGTCTCACCAGCAGCCGAGAGGATCCGCTTCATCCTGGGAGAGGAAGATGAAGGTCCGGCGCCGCCGCAGCTCTTCACCGAGCTGGATGAGCTGCTGTCAGTGGACGGGCAGGAGATGGAGTGGAAAGAGACGGCCAGGTAAGGACCGGACCTTCTGGACCTTCTCCACTGACACGAAAGAGTTGGAACACGCTGCTGGTTGGAGAATCTGCAGCACCTTTCCTTTTGGTTCGTGGTAACGTTTTTGTTGCGTGGTCCAAGGGATGATGCGACTGGAACGTGAGGATTGTGGCTTCATAATTAGTTATGAATGAGTGAAGTTTTCCCGGGGGGAAACTGGATCCCAGAGCCGATGTTTGATTTCTCATCCTAACCTTTGACCTTTTGTTCTGCAGAGAAAAGTTTAGACTGAGTGATGAGCTGCAGCGCTCTGCAGAGATTTTACAAACCTAGTTGGAGTTTTTATTTAAGAAGAATTTCAGATAGAAGAAGAAAAATGTGCAAACACGTTTGCTAGTGCAAATAAGCGTGTGAAATTATGGCAATCAGTTTTTAATATAACCCTCTTTGGTGTAATTGGCTGTTTGAGCCACTAAATGTCACTTAAATAAATCCTCCCAATTAACCTGTTTAAAGTGGAAAATTTAAAGTAAAAAATGACAGAAAAATCTGGACTGTTTCAAAATTATACCACAAATATAGATTTAATCCAGAAAGTTGCATTATTGCTTCTTAAAAACATAATTTTGTTTCCTTTGAATGTCTGGTTTTAGTCTGAGGATTAGCCACCACTTTGGTCTCAATAAAGTTATTAAAATGCTCTTTTACTTTATTTCTAAGTAGTCCTCGAGAGGAAATTTAGCTAAATTTTCTTCACTTTAAACCCTAAAGCATCAAAAAGGTACAGAATGTATTTAGGGGTGGTCTGGGACCAGAAGTCGACCCTGGGCAGGGTGTGTGTGTGTGTGTGTGATGCTCGCGGAATAGTCTCTGCAGCCGAATGTTAGAGCGTGTGTGTGTGTGTGTGTGTGTGTGTGTGTGGGGGGGGGGGGGGGGGGGGGGGGGGGGGGGTGTTTGTGCTGGGCAAGCGGCCCATGGGACGGTGCCAGAATGCCAGATAGGCCAGTCCACCCCTGGATGCATGCAGGATTTAATCTAAATTAGTAATAATTTAAGTTATAAAAGCAAAAGGAAAAAAATAAAGCAGTCATTAACGATACAGAGGATTGAATTAAATATATATATTAGAAAAAAAATCTCAAAATAAAACGCAGCAACAACCCTGAGATATAAATAACAAGTGCAGCATCTCAGTGTGTGAACTGGGAGACTGTAGAAGAATAGAAGGCCTCTTTGGACCCGTCTGTCTGCCAAATGCACGCTTGGCAGACAGACGGGTCGAACAAAACCTCCCAGAACCAGTTTGTTCTGAACTCTAAGGAGGCGGAAACAAAGAGACAAATCTTTGCTGCATTTGGAGACATCAACGTTAAATCAGAGGTGATGTTGGTGATGTCATGTGTGCACCTGAGTGTCAGGTGAGCATTTAACTCCTCCTAGTTAAGATTTATGTACAAACAGGGTTGAGATGAGTTTAAAATACACTCCTGAAGTCATTTATTATGGAGTGTGTGAGCTTTAGTTGGGTAGATTTATGGTTTTCCCTGGTTTTGGTCCCTCCAGGTGGATAAAGTTTGAGGAAAAGGTGGAAAAAGGAGGCGAGCGTTGGAGTAAACCTCATGTGGCGACCCTGTCCTTACACAGCCTGTTTGAGCTGCGCACGTGCATCGAGAAAGGAACCATCATGCTCGACATGGAGGCTTCTACGCTCACGCAGGTCGTCGGTAAGCTGCACACGATTCACTTCAGTCATGGTTTGCCAGTGGATGGGTGAACTGCATCGTGGGAAAACAAAAAGACCAATGTGGACTCGTATGGCGTGTTTTCTGTAAAATAAGGTGCTGTAGAAGGTAAAAAACCCTACTTTGTTCTGATTGGTCAACTCCACCAACCTGATTAGGCTCCGCCCATCACTCCTAGATTAGGTTAATTTGTTTTAGAAAACATTTGATTGGAAAACGAAAGCAGAACATAGGATGGGACATTTACACTAAAACGTGTTTCCGGACAAAACTAGCTTTAAAGGGACATTATGGAAGTGTGACAGCCAAAACATGTATAGAAATAATAAATGTCTTCTTCATACATTCTCCTGCAATGCCCTGGTCCTGTAGAATGAGCCCTGGCATTTTTACTGTGATTGCCTGTTTTTCTGTAAAATCACAGAAAAAGAGAGATGCTCGGGTCGAGCAGGCTGCTTCATGTGCGTTCACGCTCAGGCATCGCCCGTAGCATTTGCTATCCGTAGCTTTAGCAGCAGAGAGAGAGGCAGTGCCACTTTGTCGCTGTTCATAACGCCTAGTGACAAAGCTAGCTACATTTCTGAGGACCCTTAGCTACTTTCTGTAGAACTTTCTTCTAGATATTTCCTGCAAGTTAGCAACAAAATAGCCATTTTTGCTCCATTTCAGCTGTCATCAAGGATATAAATGTTACAGATACAAAGGACGTCACTGGTGCTTTAGCTCACCTAGTAAGACGTCGGACTCTTGTGCAGAAGACCTGGGGCTGATTCTGGATGTGAACATAGTTTATTTAGAGTTTCTTTTTTACAGTAATGGTATATTTTTTTACAGTAAGATGCCCAAATTTTTATTTGAGACTCGCCGAACGGCATTGAATTCACAGATAAAAAAGATGTGGGTTCAACTTTCATTTTGGAACAATTTTTCAAGCAAGGGAAGGGAATGATCTGAGCATGCAGGAGGACTGACCCATCATAAACCTTTGTCAGCTGTGCTGAAGAGAAAGGTACAGAACCAAATTATTTAATTAATTAGCTGCGTGTTCTCCTGTCCTATGTCCTCCCCCCCCCCCCCCCCCCCCCCCCCCCCCCACACACACACACAAAGGACTGTCTCAGCTGCTATTTTCGTTAAGGAGTGTGCACGTACAGCATGCGCGCCTCGTGCACGAGTTTACTATTGAAGCTGCCGTTACGCTTTTGGCCTGAGGGGGCAATCGCGAGCATAAAAATTCAAAACTCTGTAAAGTCCCTTTAAATCAAAGGCAGGTGATCATTAAACATCTCGTTAAACTTATCAATGTAAAGTTTGGTTGATTGGAGTAAGGGGCGAAGCTTCACCAGTTCACTGCGGTTGACCAGAACAGACTTGACTTTTGAGAGAAGAAGTTACCCTTCTCCTGTCTTTAAATGATGATGATGATGATGATTAATATTATTATTACCACCAAAAACTAGATTATTCTTAAATGATTTAAAACGTTTGCATGAATTATCATAAGTTATATGTCTGAGAAGATTAGGACTCTAAATAATTTTATTTTGTAACAAACTTTTTTATAACTGATTTAAAAACTAGCTTAAGAAGACAGTTTCACTACAGAAAAAATGCCTTTGGCGGCTCACGTTCCTTCATTTGTACTCATTTACGTGACAGCTTCATCAGATGCTCCTCAGCAGGACGAAATAACGATCCCTGAGTTCTCAAACATCTCGACCCTTTTCAGAGTGAGCGAAGGTCTCGACGCCGCCGATCGTCACACAGAAACACTCCGACTCTCAGTAGTTTATAAACGTGATCATTTAGGAAGAGTCGGCCCCTCCCGTGTCATGCCACCACCTCTTGTTTTAGTCTGCATGAAGGAGCAGGAGGAAGAGTTCCCGCTCGCTCTGATTAATGTGAAGTAAGTGACTGAGCTGCCCGGGCCGAGACGAGCTGAGCCCGCCCCCACCCGTCTGACTGATGGACCATTAACTGAACCTCCCGTCTGCAGGAAGAGATTCTCCCCGAGGCTGCTTTCTGTCAGCATTCAGGCTCCTGACCTTCTTTTAAAAATAGGCTGGACTTTCAGATGAAACCGTTTTCTGGTGCCAGGAAGACCCTCCTAGGAGCACATTACTGTCTTAGAGGCACTAATTGAGTCCTCACAAGCATGAAGAAACTTTTTAACACTGATCTGATTATCTGCCTTAACTGTGCCGTGAACCCAGAGATAAACATCAAGCAGAAAATGTTCTGAAATTCAAAGTTGACTTAAGCAAATTGAGTATTTTCAAAATATTTCCTCTTGTCCTGATCTGGTCTGATTTGGGCATTTTCCGTTGAGCACAACCGAGCTCATCTGATCTCTATTGTTGAATTAATTTCTATAGATTTACATCAGCAGGGCCAGAATACAGAACCAACTCTGCTGGGTTAAAACGCCTATCATCAGGAGCTGAGGTTGGCTAAAGGAGACCAACAAAGTCTCAGAGTTGGTTTCGCCTTCATTCTGATTCCTTTAATGCAAAACGCTTCATTTTAAAGTTTAAAATCAGTCAAATTAACTTTGTGAGTGTATTTAAAGTTAAAGACCCGTTAGTTTCCACACTGGTGAAATAATTTCTCTGCATCTGGCCTATCCCCATGGAGAGCGGTGAGCTGCAGACACGGCTGTGCTAGGGAACCATTTGGTGGTTTAACCCCCCAGTCTTAAAGCTGAGCGTTGGGTATCTTTGACCCGACTGTGGATTTGAACCCACGATCCCCCAGTCTCCCAGTCTCAGGGCAGACTCTGGGTGTTTCTCAGTGTTAAGGCGCCTTGCTTACGAGGACACGGTCCCTCCTTGGTCAAAGAAAACGGTTAAATGGAACAAACTTGTATCACGTGACCGCGGCTTCCACGGCGGTCACGTAACGTCACATGACACGGGAGATAACGTTGTATTTTATATGTATTAGTTTCAATATAAATATATAACGAGTCTTTTACTTTTTAAATTGTGTTTATGTTTATTAAATAAAAAATATAAGTGAGTTACTACCCGCTAGCCACCTAAGCTGCAACTACTAAGCTACTAACCAACCATAGATAACTTCTTTGGATCTAAAAAAACATTTTAAATTAGTTGACTTACTTTTAAACTTGAAAATTGTCCCCGAAGTAGCTGCCGGCTTCTGATCCGCCGTCCTTTTGAAAATACTGCGGTGTATTGTGGGTAATTTTTGACCAAGGCTAGGCTACAAGACACCTCCCGTGTGTCCTTGCTCAGCTAGCTAAACGGCTAACAAACAGAGAACACATGCCTCGGTAGAACATTGGAACAACAATTGGAACCGATTGGAACACGTCTTGGCGGCTCCTGATGACATATCTCCTAGGCAACCGGGGTGGGGCCAAGACATCAAGGCGAGGTTCTTTGGCATTGAGAAACACCCGCTCAAACTACTGAGCTGTTTTTATTTTTCATTGTTAATAATCACAGCAGGTCAGAACAGCATGAGCTGCACTCATAGTCACCATTTCCTGCAGAATTTATAAACATCGTTTGAAACACCATTTCTAAACACCGCCAGCTCCTAAAACATCACCAGCTGGTGTTTATGGATCCTGGTCATGTGCAGGTCTCCTTTAACAAAAACCCTTCAGACACAAATAAAGACCGTTCACAAGCAACAACTGTTGTTTAGAAAACAGACCAGAGGTATCGATTCATCCATTAGCCAGAAGAACTGAACACGTCCTGTGATCTGTACACTGAAAACTGTCTCCCTACACTGTGATCCTCTGCAGAAACTCTCAGGCTTTGATTTGAATACGTCTAACAGCTTTGTGATCTGTAGCCTATGGGTCTGGGATGTAAAACAACTAAGTTAGAGTCTTTATTGACAGATATTTCATCCTAAACATCTCAGGACTTCCCTACAGTTAAACATGTTTAAAATGTCTCATTAAGCACTAAAAAGCTTTTACAACATTTATTTATTGTCTATAAACTAATACGAAGAATGACAGAAATAAAACTAAACTTCTGTCTTGTTTCAGTTTTGATTTGAAAGCAACAAAATCTAACATCAATCTCGACGGGTTTGTGTTTCTTCCAACTCTTAACCTTCCAGAGATGATCACGGACAACCAGATTGAGATCGGCCAGCTGAAAGCGGACCTGAAGGACAAGGTGATGTACACGTTGCTACGGAAACATCGCCACCAGACCAAGAAGTCCAACCTGCGCTCACTGGCTGACATTGGGAAAACGGTCTCCAGTGCAAGTAGGCTGTTTTCCAACCAGGACAACGGTAACACTGGTGCCGGTTTGCTGCAGTCTTCTCCGCTTTTTTAATCCTAAAAATCTAAACGAGGCCAATCAAATCTGGACTCGAGTCTTGAGCTGTACGGTGAGATTCGAGGGCAGACAAACCATCTCCATCCTCCACTTGTATGGCGCGGTATGGGGGCCAAAATTAAGACTACTGCCCAGCAGCAGGAGGCTATATAAATTCTGAAGCAAACTACCGACCTGATTAATGATAAGCTGGCACCGGTAACTGAGAGGCTGGCGCTGCTTACTGAGAAATACCACCTTTACCGGCGTTACTACTAGATACGCTAGGGACTAGCAGCCCCCGGCTGGTCATTGACTGGTTCACACACTCCCTCTGCTGTCAATTAGCATGGATATGCTAGCGTTAGCCTGGATGGGCTGATGTTAGCATTGGAGAGGCTAGCCATTAGCGCGCCTAGGCTGGCCACTAGCTGACTAGTGACTCTCTGAGACATGCTAATGGCTAGCCTGTCCGATGCTAACGCCAGCCTATTCATGCTAATGGTCCGTCGAGGAGGTAGGAAATCCAGCTAGTGGCCAGCCTAGGCACGCTAATGGCTAGCCTCTCCAATGCTAACACCAACCCATCCAGGCTAACGCTAGCCTATCCATGCTAATTGACAGCAGAGGGAGTGTGTGAACCAGTCAATGACCAGCCGAGGGCTGCTAGTCCCTAGCATATCTAGTAGTAACGCCGGTAAAGATGCTATTCCTCAGTAAGCAGCGCCACTGCTGGGCAGTAGTCTTAATTTTGGCCCCCATACCACGCCATATGCGTGAACCCACTAATCTGACACCAATTAAACCCAAATTAGAATCCAGTGAACCAGAATCAGCAGGAAGACCAAACATCAGCAGAAGCTTCTTTTGTCTCTATCCTTTCATTACTAATGAATTAGTCAGTAAATATAACTAATATTAGCAGATTTATGTAAATAACCTGTCAATGGTGAGTGATTTCTATCTTCTAACGGCACTTTATCGCCTTCTAACTATGCAAACATTAAATAATCCATCACGTGACTGGATTAGAGCAGCGTCATAGTTCAAAGACGTAAGAAGTCATAAAAACTGTAGTTTGAGTTGTGACAGAAGTACGTAACAGAAAACAGAGACTGACCGGAAACTCACAGGAAACTTTAGGACATTCGTGTGCCGATGCACAAACATATTCATCAGGGCTTTTGTTGTGTTAGTCTGACTCTTAGAGGAAATGGGTTTTTGTCTCCCACGAGGAAAGCCCGACGCTCCGGCGTAACTTAAGTTTCTCAGCTACAAAAGCTCTCATGTCTGGTTGTGTCATTAATGAGTGACCAGCTGTTATTGATTAGCCACTATCGGGTTTGAGAAACACTTCTGTGACGAGTAGAGAGACTGTTATCGGGATCATAGTAAAGATAAAGACCAACATCCACAGTCATTAATTAACTCTTTAAGGATAAAGTGCAGCGTTGTGAAAAGGAGGTTTCATTCAGAGCTTCTGCCGCGTTTAACCACCCACGCCCTCCTAACTCACCGTTCCTCCTCACAGCGTTTCAATTCCACTGTAATGATTTAACTTCATCTCTGCTAGCTGTCCTTCATCTGTCCTTCTGTCCTTGTGTCTGTCCGTTCTCCTGCTTCCCTGGACTGCTTTGATAACCTGCTACTGCTGCTGAAAGCCCGCAGTCCTCTTGAGAACTCGGTGACCTGCCTGTCGGGTCACATCTCAATGGAGGACCTGCAGAGCCAAACGAGTACCAGCACGGACTGGCTCAGTAAGTTCAGCAGAACACCTTCAGGTTCACTAACCACTGATCAGCATCCAGGTGGGACTGGGCAGTATGTTACCTGCAGCAGAGAGCACTCAGAGGTATATTGGGTCAGAACCAGGGAGAAGTTCTGAGGAAGGACTCTGAGTACTCTGGTGAAGTTTCTCATAATCATTTACTTTCTGCACGGTGGCACAGCTGGCTGCACTGCTGCCTTGCAGCAAGAAGGTCACATGTTTGAATCCTGGCTTTAGCTTTCCGAGTGGAGATAGAATGCGTGTTTTCTCCAGGCGCGCCGGATTCCTCCCACTGACCAAAAACACGCATCTTAGGTTAAATATAGAATTGTTAGAAGTACATTTAAAGGGGCATTATGGAAGTTTGACAGCCAAAACATGTATAGAAATTATAAATGTCTTCTTCATACATTCTCCTGCAATGCCCTGGTCCTGTAGAATGAGCCCTGGCATTTTTACTGTGATTGCCTGTTTTTCTGTAAAAATCACAGAAAAAGAGAGATGCTCGGGTCGAGCAGGCTGCTTCATGCGCGTTCACGCTCAGGCATCGCCCGTAGCATTTGCTATCCGTAGCTTTAGCAGCAGAGAGAGAGGCAGTGCCACTTTGTCGCTGTTCCTAACGCCTAGTGACAAAGCTAGCTACATTTCTGAGGACCCTTAGCTACTTTCTGTAGAACTTTCTTCTAGATATTTCCTGCAAATTAGCAACAAAATAGCCATTTTCACTCCGTTTCAGCTGTCATCAAGGATATAAATGTTACAGATACAGAGAACATCACTGGTGCTTTAGCTCACCTGGTAAGAGGTTGGACTCTTGTGCAGAAGTCCTGGGTTTGATTCTGGATGTGAACATAGTTTATTTAGAGTTTATTTTTTACATTAATGGTATATTTTTTTACAGTAAGATGCCCAAATTTTTATTTGAGACTCGCCGAACGGCATTGAATTCACAGATAAAAAAGATGTGGGTTCAACTTTCATTTTGGAACAATTTTTCAAGCAAGGGAAGGGAATGATCTGAGCATGCAGGAGGACTGACCCATCATAAACCTTTGTCGGCTGTGCTGAAGAGAAAGGTACAGAACCAAATTATTTAATTAAATAGCTGCACGTTCTCCTGTCCTCTGTCCTCCCCCCGCCCCAACACACACACACACACACGGGACTGTCTCAGCTGTTATTTTTGTTAAGGAGTGTGCACGTACAGCATGTGCGCCTCGTGCACGAGCCTACTATTGAAGCTGCTGTTACGCTTTTGGCCTGAGGGGGCAATAGCGAGCATAAAAAATCAAAACTCCATAAAGTCCCTTTAACAACATTTGTGTTCCTTCTGCATGAAGCATAAATCAAATCATGCAGAGAAAACAGGGTTCGCTTGGAATGAGATGAACCCAGCTTCCTGCTGTCTGCTGCAGGTGAGACGCTGCTCACAAGTTCTCCACACAGCTACGTTTCACCATTGCATGCAATTCTCCACCAAATAAAAATTTCCATCATGTGGTTGCGTCTGTCTGCATCACAATGACATTCCTGGTTTGACCCACAATGCCGAGGGAGCGGATGCACGAAAGGCTGCAGTGACACCAGCTTTTGCACCGGCTGAAGGGGTTTCTCTCTCTGATGTGAGGTCACATGATGCTGAGTCAGGTCTCTGATGGGCCGAAACCGAAAGTCAGCAGAGCGTCAGTCAGAGTTTAATCCTGAAAGCAGCACTTAGCGACAGGTTTGATGGGAAAAGCGGGACGCTGAGTTGATCAGATGTTCTCACCTGGAAAAGAGCAAGGTGGATGCTCTGAAGCTGCTGTGCAAAAATAATCAGCACAACTTAAATTATCCACAAGACAGACGCAAAAAGATGAACTGGCGTCCAAGAATCTGTGGAAAATATGCTGAGTTACTTGAATTAGACGGAGTCATCAGTAGAGCCGGTAACTTCCTGGGGTGTTTCACTCTTTCTGGTCAGATTTCTGTCCAGTTGGTCTCTGAGCGTTTGAGTTTATCTCCGGCTGTGCTTTACTGTCCTTTTGTTTTCAAGCCTGCAGGAATATTCCTGCAGAGTGTTTCTGGTTCTGGATCAAACTTTCTGGGCCACGGTTTTTTTCCTGGGTCTCATCCCGCCTCTTTTCTTCTTCTATAATTCTGAAATCTCGATAAAAGTAAAGCTAAGTCCTACGTTTCTGCTTCCGACAGACAGCCCCACCACCGCTCACCGGAACCTGACCTCCAGCAGCCTGAACGACATCTCTGACAAACCAGAAAAGGATCAGGTGAGCCTTACCGCTTCAATAATAAAGCACACAGAAAACATCTGATTACAAACGGTGAAGAACAACAAAAACAAAACAACTCCATAAAACCTGGATTTTGGTGCAGCTTTAATGCTGTTTTCTTGGGTTTGGACGTCTTTCTTTGGAGATTGTTTGTTTTTGTCAGATTTATTTTAAACATTTGTGAAATAACAGTGGAGTTTTTGTAATTGGCTTTTTTACTTGAAAATAAACGACGCAGAGCAGTTATTCAGTCGTTCACCAACCTCCCATTAACTCATTCACTGTCGAGATTTAAGGGATTTCCTCCTAATTTCAAACCATCATTAACACTGAAGAATTGTTTCTATAGACAGTCTGATAAAATACGGAAATCAAAACTCACTAAAACCATAATTGTGATAATTACATTTTATTATACCCCCATAATAAATGAAAGGCATTCAAGTTAAAATAAATTTAAACCAAATCAAACAAAATCAGATATTTCACTAAATAATCCCTGCATTACACATAATAATATAATAAAAATATAACACTAGCAATAATAATAATAGTAATAATAATAATAATAGTAATAATAATAATAGAAATAATAGTCATATTAATAACAACAGTACTAATAATAGTACTACTACTACTAATAATATGAATAATAATAGTAATAATAAGCATATTAATAACAACAGTAATAATAATATTAATAATTATATTACTAGTAATATAATAATAATAATAACAATATTAATAATAATAATACTAGTAATATAATAATAATAATAATAATAATAATAATAATAATAATAATAATAATAACTGTAATAACTGTAATAATAATAATAATAATAATAATAATAATAATAATACCAACTCTACTGCTACTAATGATGATGATATCATGGTCATGCTGCTGGATGCTGTACCTTCAGTGCAAAAACAAGCTGCTGTTGTTTGTGTGGCTAAGCAGCAGCAGCAGCTCAGGAGGTAGAGCGGGTTGTCCGGTAATCGGAAGGTTGCAGGTTTGATCCCGGCTCTGACCAGAGAATACTGCTGTTGTGTCCTTGGGCAAGACACTTAACCCACCTTGCCTGCTGGCGGTGGTCGGAGGGACCGGTGGCGTCTGTGTTTTGCAGCCTCGCCTCTGTCAGTGCGCCCCAGGGCAGCTGTGGCTACATCGTAACTCATCACCACCAGCGCGTGAACGGGTGAGCAACTGACTGTGTTGTGAAGCGCCTTGGGGGGTTGTAGAACCCTAAGAAGGCGCTATACAACTACAGGCTGTTTATCATTTTAAATAAAGTTCCAAAATCAATCAAAGTAATCAGAAATATTAAAACAATCAAAATTTGTTCTATTAATAAAATGCTTAGAATGGGCCAAACCCCTCCCACCCGCTGCATTTCACAGTGGAGGCCATGGACAGCTCCTTCAGTGGTGGAGTGATATGATCGTACTTCCTTGTCCTTGTCAGAAGGCGAGCCAATGTTTAACGCATTGCAGTAGTCCAGCTGTGAAGAGATGATAACATGAATAAAAGTAGGATCATGGGCCTTAATCCTACTAACATCATTTGTAAGAAGCTAGCCTTCACCATCACGCTGGTCTGATCTACAAGGAAAGACCTGAGTCAAAAACCACCCCCAACTTCTTAACTGCAGGTTGACAGTAGGAGGGATAAGCAGTGTTGTGGATGACCCAAAGACAAGGATCTCTGTCGTCCTCTGGAAAGTTTGTGTAAAACCATGGCTGCACATCTTTAAGGCAGTCCAACAAGTCCTGAGAGAGCGTGCCACCATTCACTGGTACATAGATCTGCAGGCCATCCACATAGATATGAAACAAGATCACATACTTTCTGAAAACACACCTTAGTGGTAGCATGTATAATGAGAAAAGCAATGGTCCCAGAAGCCAACCCTGGGGCACCCCAAAGTCCATCAATGACAGGGATGATGAATATTTGCCAAGGTGCACTAAAACGCTCTACCTGAGAGTTACACCTGGAACCATTTCGGAGGGACACCCTTAATCCCTACCCATGACTCCAGACGAGACAAAAGTATCTCGTGATCCGCAGCATCAAACGCTGCTGCTAAGTCCAGGAGGATCAGCTCAGCAGTCACCACGATCTGCAACAACGCTGTCTCTGTACTGTGGTGTGGTCTAAAACCTGACTGGAAACGTTCCTGAACATTATTCCCAAGGCAGACTTGTAGCTACCCATGCACGACTTTTTCCAAAAGGACGCCTTAGAAACGGGGTGAAAGTTATTCAGATCCTGCAGGTCCAGTCATCTTAAGAAGCAGCTGGACCACAGCGGCTTAAAATCTCACTTTACGTTTGAACAAAAGCAAAAACCCGTTTTAGTCCAGCGAGTGACTTCAAAAAGCATTTTTGAGGAGCGCTAACGACGTGCATCAAATGCGCTCTTCTGACCAAACGTCAGAAGCAGAGGTGTTCCCCCAGCAGGCAGAAGTGAGGAGGTCCGTTTTTTATTCGTCATAATGGAAGTGACATCTGTGGAGAGCAGAGCCGAGGCTCCACGAGCTGCAGCCGTTGTCCTGCTGTTGCCTCGTTCATAGGAAGTCAGAGGTTACTTCATCCAAAGTGGATCATCACATTCGGATCGATCTCGGTCTCACGCAGCCTGGGCTGTCACCGGGAGTTAGATGTTTACGTTAGATTCCTCAGATTTAACCTCTTTTCATAACCGTCCAGTGAAATTCCCAGATTATCTGTCTAAGCCACTAAAGGTTCCTGTTTTCCTCTCACTGTGTCAGAGAGAATTCCCAACATTCACGACATGTTTGACCTTTGTCCTCAAGGGTCTATATAGCTCCCACTATCTTATCCTTTCTGCTAAAATGCTAACAGGGTTTAAGAAAGACGACACAAGACAGCAGGGAGCAGCCAATCTCTCAATGTTCAGTTCTGCTTATCTGTGCTGGTCAGACATTCTGCTGGATTAAACTTGGAGACCGGTTCTGACTCTGGAATCAGTTTCTAGGGAGAACTTCCTCTGGATGCAGAGTGGATCCTAACCTTCACCGTTCAGATGTTCTGATCCCAGACCAGACCTTTGGGAGCAGAAATGGGTCAGGAATGATTCCTTTGGGACAAAGTTTGAATGATAACTGGACAGGAAATGCATCTGCTAAGCCAAAGCAATTCCACGCCCACTCGGCTTATAAATACCATTCCGGAGTTTCCCGACAGGACTGATAACTCGGAGATAAGATGAAGGTTGAAATGAGATCTGATGTAGTTGAGAACACTTGCAGGAGCTGATGCTTTATCTACTGAGTCAGGTTGAATGTAGCTTTGGTCATGGGACCCAGTTTAACATCGAGCTTTTAAAATGGTGCGGGGAATGAAACTGAAGCTGGATTTCAAAGGTCCATGTGAGAAGAATCCGTCAGGATTTAACATTTTAGCTGCAAAAACCACAGAAACACGGAGAAAATGCTGAATCAGACCCAAAATAGTTCTCATACGATGTTAACAAAAGGGTAATAAAAGAGTAATGAGTCAGTTTAATAAAACACCTCCATTTATTAGAACTATTTCAGTCCCCCCCCCCCCCCCCCCCACACACACACACACACACAAGAACAGACACAATTACATCTAAAACTGGATGAGTAGAAAACTAGTGACTAGTGGTGCTCCAAATAAAAGAAAAAAATATGAAGATGTTTGAATGAAAATTTAAATATTTATACCATATATGATTATTATCTTATTGTTTTTATAAAATGATACCTTACACTGGACTATGGGTCCTGTCGCCAAAAAATGAGTGAAATACTACTTTTTCTCCCGAGATGTGGAGGATGAAATGTTATTTATAAAATAATCACAAAAAATGAATATTCATCTGCTGATTAAAGTGAAACATAGAGGAATCGTTACAAAAACGATTCATCAACACCTTAGAAAAAGAACAGAAAGGTGGATTTTTTAAAACCCAGGTGTGACGAACGTCAGCTGGTAGTTTTTCACATAACTTTAACGGTTTCTGTTTTATTGGGTGTTAGTTGGTTAAAGAGACACTTTGCAGCTTTGGCTTGCTTTGAGCACCCCCTAGTGTCCGTTTTTAATATGTGTCATGAAACCAAAATTAAACTTATTTCCTCGCTGTGCATTTGTCTATTTAACTCCTTAATCTACCAGCTGAGACGTCTCCTCAGCCTTCCTGAATGTCTACAGGAGCGGTTCATCACTAAATCTAACACATCAGCTGTGTTCCATGCGATCGTTCATGTCGGCTCATTTCCTTTTATGTTTTCTGTCTTTTATTTGTGTCTGATGCGTTTCGCTGCTGTGGAGCGGGGCGCATCACCTGTTTTGTCCTCCAGTGACGCACCTCACCGGAGCGGCCGGCGCGCACCCCGCTGTTTTTGCGGTCGGTAGATCTTTTAGAGCTGCAGTTCAAAGGTAACTCATTAGGTGAATATATATGAACCCAGGTAGCAGTTTTTCTTTAGGATTAAGAGGAGAAGCAGGAAGATAATAAACATGCAGGACAGAAAAATAGTCAAATAAAAACAAGTTAGTTTTTGTACCTGGTGGTTGCAGCAGACACCATTGAAGGTAATCAGAAGTGAGGAACAGAAAATGAAATAATTATTTTAATGTTTAGAGCAGCAGGAACTCTGAGAGGCTGCAGGCGCATCAGTGAGTTTGCGGCCGCTGCGGGGGGTGGGGGGGTGACTGAAGCGGAGCAGTAAAGATGCAGAAACTACTGTTGTTAAAAGAGATGTTTAACTTGGAAAATGTGGGAGCAAGTTTTAATTGTCAAAAACTCCAGCGAACCAACCCGCTTCAGGTGTATGACATCATCAACAACTAGTTAAAGTCGACTCGATTTTCATTACTTGTCTGTCGACTTTTTAAAAAATGAAGTCATGCAACCCCTACTGTTGACTCTGGTTTAGCTCCTATTTTATATTTTTTAGCTTTATCAGGTAAATGTTTCCTCATCTCTTCCGAGGCTCCGACATGATAAAGACGTTACAATATATGGTGTAGCTCGTCTGTTCTGAGGTGTGAACATGGACGGTTGTAATGACTCTGTGAGACTTCAGGGCAGCGGTCTGGAGAGGCTGAAGTTGCCCACGGGGTCTCCTGCTCACAAGGGGCTGCAGGGTCCTTTAAAAACATCCTGGCTTGAGAAAATGAGTAGAAACATGCGAAGCTGCTCAGTGTGCCTTTAAAGCTGCTGTGGTTTATGAGTTATGTGGATCAGAGGGTGGTCGGATGCAGGTGGATGATTTACGAACCACTGGCTGCTTCAGTCAAAGGTCTCAGGACCAGTTTCAGTTCTCAGAGGACGTTTACCATCCTGCTCCTGAGGAGACCCAAAACTCAGATTTGATTTTTGATTTAAATTTAGTTAAGTTATGTTATGGTAAGGACTAATTCAGTCGTTCATGCAGCACCCCCTGGGGGTAGTGCCGTGTGTGTGTTGGGTTGTTGCAGCTTGGCAATAAATGGAGTCGCTACGTTAAGACAGAGCTGGCCCAGTCTCGTTAATGTTGCTGCTATTATAAACCGGAGGGCTACCAAAACAAGTTAAACATCAGTTATCAGTAAAGATTAGATCTAGTCCCAGTTCAGTCCACTTAGACCAGATTTAGACTCAAATACGTCCATTTAATTCAGAATTAGAACAAATATAAACTGACTTAATACACGCAGAACCTTTTCATCAGTAATTCTAACAGAGTAGTGAAAAAGACTTTATTCCCATTTGTGCTTTTCGTCTTTAATGAGATCAGAAAAAGGTTTTTGTGCAGCAATTAATGGTTTAAATAATTACTCATCTTCAGCGGGACAGACACATTTTTAACACACCTGAGCTTTTTGCCCACAGGCGGGAACACTCGGAGTGCAGAAGTCTGCTCCTGTGTTGTTTTACTGCTCAGAACATAACATCGTTAATATATAGAAGTCATTCTCCACAAAAACCTAGTAGATTATTATTATAATTATTATTATAATCTAACCATATTAGTCTGATAATGAGCCTGTTCCACTTTTTAATGATACACGGTTGTAAATGTGACATAAGACAAATAACGTGTTTGCTGCAACTTTTTACCAGATGAGCAGATTTGACACATTTTTTTTCTACATAAAAACCTGAAGAATTAAGTGGCACACCTGAGAGGATTTCAGCACCTCAGATCTTCTCCAGAACTCTTTTCTTTGCTGCCTAACAAAGTTGTGAGCTGGTTCGGATGATTAAAGCATGTTTATGAACACAGCGTCTGGCCCGGATAAATACGGCTGATCTTAAGGCCACCAGTTATAATTTATGATTGATGGGACCCAATAAGGGACAAATAAAAAAATCCAAGTTTGAAACATCTTAGGAATTAAATTCAAAATATTGTTATTGTTATTATTTTCTGACCAAGTCCTCCGAACACACCCACATCACCCCGCTTCTCCTCCAGCTTCACTGGCTGCCAGTCAACTTCAGGGTTCATTTCAAGATCCTGGTTCTGGTCTATAGGGCCTTACATGGACAAGCACCATCTTACATTGGTGATCTTCTCAGTCCCTACACCCCCAGCAGGTCCCTGAGGTCCAGTGACCAAAGCCTACTGGTTGTGCAGCACCAGGCTAAAGGTCAAAGGTGACAGATCATTTGCTGCTGTGGCCCCCAGACTCTGGACCTCTCTCCCCCTGAGCCTGAGATCAGTGGACTCAGTGGTCTCCTTAAAACTCACCTGTTCAGGTTCTGGTGTGACCTTTATCACCCTCTCCTGGTTCTGCTCTCCCCACCTATTCCACCTTGCTCAGGATCCACTGATTTCCCTCTTTCCTATTCACTCTCTCTCTTTCTTAACATTTTAATCACAATCAAATGTTTTTTAATGTCAATGTTTTTTGCTCGAAAAGAGCAAAAAACATAATTTTTCACTCTTTTCAAACATATTTTTAATCATTTTCTAAATAATTTTTTATATTTTAAATTTCTTGTTTTTGTGAAGCGCCTCGTGATTTTTATCTTGAAAGGTGCTATAGAAAATATTTCTTTTTTCATTTTCTTCTTTTTCTTTTTCTTCTTGCTTCTTCTTTCTTCTTTCTTCTTCTTCTTCTTCTTCTTCTTCTTCTTCTTCTTCTTCTTCTTCTTCTTCTTCTTCTTCTTCTTTTTCTTCTTCTTCTTTCTTCTTTCTTCTTCTTTTTTTCTTTTTCTTCTTTCTTCTTCTTTTTCTTTTTCATATTTTCTTTTTCTTCTTCTTTGTCTTCTTTTTTTTCTTCTTCTGCTTCTTCTTTTTGTTCTTTTTCTTCTTCTTCTTTTCTGTTTCATTTTCTTTTTTTCTTTTTCTTTCATTTTCATTTTTTCTTCTTTTTCTTCTTCTTTTTCTTCTTTCTTCTTCTTCCTTTTTCTTTTTTCTTTTTTCTTTTTCTTTTTCTTCTTCTTTTTCTTCTTCTTTTTCTTTTTCTTCTTTTTCATTTTTTCTTCTTTTTCTTCTTCCTTCTTCTTCTTTTTCATTTTCATTTTTTCTTCTTCTTCCTCCTCTTTTTCTTCTTCTTCAAAAGAAGAAGTTAACATTTCTTTTCAAGATTTAAAATGATTCTGTTGCTGGAAAGTGTAAATGCCAAAATCTAAACTAATACCATTTTCAGGGTGTTTGAACAAATCCTCACAGTTGAGTAAGTTCTCACAAGCCACTCGTGTGTTGGTGTTCTCGGGTTTATTTTGTGTTCGCTGAGGAGAACGGGGAACCACGAAGAAGAAAAGGGAAAACCAGTTCAAGGCTGAAAGACCTGAATGCTTTAAAATGTTGAACTTTGAAGCTCAGCAGGTTTCTGACCTCCATCTTTTCCCTCTCAGCGTCAGGCTTGGTGTTGCTCCTTGTTTCGTGTCCAAATACAAAAGAAGCTCTTGGTTTGGTATTTAAACAGAAAGAACGACCTGTTTAATACAAACAGTTTAATAAAAGGTGTCAGCTCTTCCAGGAGGCTTACTGGTGTGAATGCAACATTTAACGGCTCCTTTTGTTCTTGCAGCTGAAGAACAAGTTCATGAAGAAGTTGCCGAGAGACGCGGAGGCCTCCAACGTGCTGGTGGGGGAGGTGGACTTCCTGGACGCCCCGTTTGTGGCGTTTGTTCGTCTGCAGCAGGCCGTGATGCTCGGAGCGCTGACGGAAGTTCCCGTTCCCACAAGGTCTGTGGTTCCAGTCTGAGAACAATTCAAGCTGCTTTAGGGATTGAAGACACCAGATCTTTATTTAAACAAAACTAATCCTGGTCAGATTTGTCTCCCTTTTTTACAAATACACCAAGTTTTTTTTAGCTGAAAATAAAATTAATAAATTATTTTAAGTATTTTGGTGAAATTTTTAGTTTTGTCCTGCCATTGATTAAACTTTTCAGGTTTTTTTCTGATTTTTAAACCACAAAATGAAAATATAAACAGAGAAAATGTTCTTTCTGGGGGAAATGTGAACACCGGCACGCTTCACAAACCTGAGATGTTAGTGGATAAAAGTCAAACGTCCTCAGGTTACAAAAACGGAGTCACACTTCATCAATTTGTCTGAAATGATTTACAGTTCAGAAATATTGGGGAGGGACTGATTGATACATTTTACCAACTGATGTCTGCAGAATAATTAGGTCTGTAAGATGATGAATGAATGAATGAATGAATGAATGAATGAACGAATGAATGAATGAATGACTAAAATTCTGCTTCATTTCTTTTTGCAGATTTTTGTTCATCCTGCTTGGACCCAAAGGCCAAGCCAAGTCCTACCACGAGATCGGCCGAGCGATCGCCACGCTGATGTCAGACGAGGTTCGAACGTCGTTGGATAATATAAAAATATAAAATAAGATTTTTTATGTTACATAAACAACTCTGAAAGTATAAATCTGCACCCACAAAAGTAAATTCACCAACATTTTAGAATGATGGTCAAACAGCAAATGAAAACCAAACAGAAAACATTTAACCACCTCCTCGTTAGACCCGAGCTTCTTTTACGTGAAACCTCTGTTTCCGCGCAGCGACGATTAAAATCTGACAATCGCAAACGTTCGTGTTTGGTTTGATTCCAACTGAACGTGTGAATACTTTTCCACAACTCTAAAAAGAGTTCTGTCTCTAAAGTAAACTGGAACTGTTCGTTGTGCTTTTATTTACAGTGTATGTGCAGATATGAAAGAGTCATCTTTTCAGTTTTACTTTGAGGAGGCTGTTTCCTAAACCAAACCAGCGTCGCTTCTACAGTTCTAACTGCGAACGACTAACGAGCAGAAAGATAAAATCAATCATCAATCAATCAATCAATCAATCAATCAATCAATCAATCAATCAATCAATCAATCAATCAATCAATCAATCAATCAATCAATCAATCAATCAATCAATCAAAGCTTTATTTATAAAGCGCCTTCCGCAACCCTGTCAGGAAGCCCAAAGCGCTGAACATGGTACAGTTGTAGGTAAATATATTGAATAAATCAACAATAAAAGCAATTCAAATTACAAAATACAAATTACAAGATAGATGAAACATTCTGGTACAGGACAAATGTGTGAAACACAATTGGATTGAGTGAACCAATGAAAACTGTGAAATAAAATCAACATAAAAGAGGGCCAAATTCAAACATGTTCTGGAAACGCCAAGCGGAGGAGGTGTGTTTTTAGGTGACTCTTAAAGGCTGGCAGAGATGGGGACAGCCTAACTGAGGGTGGCAACTGGTTCCAGAGTAACGGTGCTAGGACTGAGAAAGCCCGGTCCCCGCGAGTACGACACCTAGACCGAGGGACAGCGAGCAGGCCTTGGTCAGAGGAGCGCAGAGCGCGTGATGGGGAATGTTTGTTCAGGAGAGTGGCCAGATAGGGGGGACCACCACCCTGGAAGAAATGATAAACAAAGACGAGGATTTTGAATTGTAAGCGATAGCAAATCGGAAGCCAGTGCAGGGAGGCCAGAACCGGACTGATGTGGTCCCGTTTCCTGGTCCCAGTCAGGAACCTGGCTGCGCTGTTCTGCACAACCTGTAGGCGACGCAGTGATGACGTATAACGACGAATAACGACGAATCAGGAAGGATCTGACACGCGGGGAGTTAAATGGCTGAGTTGATTAAATGACGTTCCTCTCTGGAGTTTTTGGGTTGATGTCGATGGGATTAGTTGCTTGTGTCTGGTGTTTTTGCACGAGGTCAGCCTCTTTCTGTTTTTAGTAATCCCCAGATCAGATATTACAGTTGACTGCCCAGTGGCATCGGGAGCTCTTTCGCTCTAATACATCTTCCCGCTCTGTCTGCAGATCTTCCATGACATTGCGTACAAGGCGAAGGACAGACAAGACCTGCTGGCCGGCATCGATGAGTTCCTGGATGAGGTCATCGTTCTTCCCCCTGGGGAGTGGGACCCCACCATCAGGATAGAGCCTCCCAAAACCCTCCCTTCCTCCGACAAAAGGTCCAGAATCACGTTTCTGTTATAAAACAAAAAGATTTCTCATCACAAGAGACAAACATTTATCATTTCAAGGTTTATTGTAGAAAAAGTCTTAATAAAGAAACTTGTATAACAAGTGAGTTTGTCTTCATGAAACGCGTAAGAAGGTTCATGGTTGGGCTTGGTCTAAACGATGGATGAGGAGAATGTAGAAAAAATGTCAGATCAGCTCCAGGTGCATAAAGTTCTGTTTAAATGTGTAACAACTGCAGAAACCGAGACATTAACAAGTTTATCTGATCGTCTAATGGGTGAGGTAAAATAATCAGAGTAAAACTGAACAAACTTCTCTTCGCTTCAGGAAAAACATGTATGCAGCAGGAGACTCTCAGATGAATGGAGACACGCCTCATGATAAAGGTCACGGAGGAGCAGGGGGAGGAGGAGGAGGTCATGCAACCGGGGAGGAGCTGGAGAAAACTGGAAGGTATTAAAAATCTGTAAATGATTCAGTGATTCCTTTTATCATTTATCAAGTTGGACCAGTCTGAGCAACAGTCTTTATACTCAATCCCATCATGATGCAGAGGCATAAACTTAAATACGTGGTTTTATTATCTGATAAACTCTAAATTATTCAGAGGAGCCAAAACAGAACGCCTGCTGGAAACTTTTAGAGCAAACTGCTTCTTCATGTCGCTGATATCTGATTGCTGGAACCAAGCTGCTCATATTTTTTTTCAGCAAAAACTTGCATAGAACACCATAGTTTCATATCTAAAACCCACATAGAACACTGTAGTTCCATATGTAAAACCCACATAGAACACCATAGTTTCATATGTAAAACCCACATAGAACACTAAAGTTCCATATGTAAAACCCACATAGAACACTAAAGTTCCATAGGTAAAACTCACATAGAACACCATAGTTCCATATGTAAAACCCACATAGAACACCGTAGTTTCATATGTAAAACCCACATAGAACACTAAAGTTCCATTTGTAAAACCCACATAGAACACTAAAGTTCCATATGTAAAACCCACATAGAACACCATAGTTTCATATGTAAAACCCACATAGAACACTAAAGTTCCATATGTAAAACCCACATAGAACACTAAAGTTCCATATGTAAAACCCACATAGAACACCATAGTTCCATATGTAAAACCCACATAGAACACTAAAGTTCCATATGTAAAACCCACATATAACACTAAAGTTCCATATGTAAAACCCACATAGAACACTAAAGTTCCATATGTAAAACCCACATAGAACACCATAGTTTCATATGTAAAACCCACATAGAACACTGTAGTTTCATATGTAAAACCCACATAGAACACCGTAGTTTCGTATGTAAAACCCACATAGAACACCATAGTTTCATGTGTAAAACCCACATAGAACACCATAGTTTCATATGTAAAACCCACACAGAACACCATAGTTTCATATGTAAAACCCACATAGAACACTAAAGTTCCATATGTAAAACCCACATAGAACACCGTAGTTTCATATGTAATACTCACATAGAACACCGTAGTTTCATATGTAAAACCCACATAGAACACCGTAGTTTCATATGTAAAACCCACATAGAACACCGTAGTTTCATATGTAAAACCCACATAGAACACCGTAGTTTCATATGTAAAACCCACATAGAACACCGTAGTTTCATATGTAATACTCACATAGAACACCGTAGTTTCATATGTAAAACTCACATAGAACACCATTGTTTCGTATGTAAAACTCACATAGAACACCATAGTTTCGTATGTAAAACCCACATAGAACACCATAGTTTCATGTGTAAAACCCACATAGAATACCATAGTTTCACATCTAAAAGTCACCCAGAACACCATAGTTTCATGTGTAAAACCCACATAGAATACCATAGTTTCATATCTAAAAGTCACCCAGAACACCAGTTTCATGCCTAAATTGTGCCTGCACTTCTGGTTCTGCGAGATTGTGATCCAATCACAGCAGAACTGTTGGAGCTGCAGCAGCAGCTGAGATCATGAAACGTGCCACAACATCTGAACAAGAAAAAGTCTTTGCCAAAACTTTAAATAACTGAGAGCTGATGAACAGACCTAGGACACAACTGACTGCAACAAAAGTCATTTTTTAAACTTAAATCTTGACGTTTCAGTTGAAGTCATCTCTTTCGTGTGTCGTCAGGTTCTGCGGCGGTCTCTTCCTTGACATCAAGAGGAAGGCACCTTTCTTTCTCAGCGATTTCACCGATGGGTTTCATATCCAGGCGCTGTCGGCCATCCTCTTCATCTATCTGGGAACCGTGACCAACGCCATCACCTTCGGCGGTCTGCTGGGTGATGCCACCGAAAACATGCAGGTCAGATGTGCTTCTGACCCGTAAATAATCTAAAGAATGTGGACGGTCTGGTGGACGAGCGAACCTGTGCTCTGTGTGTTCAGGGAGTGTTGGAGAGTTTTTTAGGCACCGCCATCGCGGGTGGAGTGTTCTGTTTGCTGGCCGGTCAGCCTCTCACCATCCTGAGCAGCACCGGTCCTGTTCTGGTGTTTGAACGTCTGCTTTTTAACTTCAGCAGGTACTTCATCAACCATTACTGATTACGATTTAACAAGGATTTCTTCAAAATAAAAGTTTTAATCAAAGTAATTTACTTAATTTGTTGTAAAGGTGAAATCTATTATTTTCTTCTGGTTTGACACCAATGCAGAGGAACAATAAACATCCATAAAACAGCAGCAGAAGTGTTTGACTCTAGGAATCCGTGTTTACTTTGTGAAGTAGGATCCTCTGGAGGAAACATGAACTGTCACTAAGAGTCTAAAACAATTCACATTTCTAATTTTGCACAGTTTTGTTTTATAGCTTTTAATTGAACATAAATCTCACACTTGTTGGGATTTCCTGCTGGACGTCCTCCAGCTAAGCCTTTCTGCTGCTAATAAACAACACAGAAATCTAAGGATCTATCTTCTGGGTCTACGCGGTGAAACCCTCCAGCTTTATGTGTGCGTTTCATTCAGAGACCATGATTTTGACTACATGGAGTTCCGCCTGTGGATCGGTTTGTGGTCGGCATTCTACTGCCTGGTGCTCGTCGCCACTGACGCCAGTTTTCTGGTCAAATACTTCACCCGCTTCACGGAGGAGGGCTTCTCCTGTCTCATCAGCTTCATCTTTATCTACGATGCCTTTAAGAAGATGATTAAATTAGCTCACCACTACCCCATCAACTCCAACTACACCATGGACTACGTCACGCAGTACGAGTGTTTGTGCATGGCTCCTCCAATCCTGGGTGAGAACTTCCTCAGCTAATAAGTCATTTATTTATTTATTTATTTATTTATTTTCAGAAAATCAATCTTTTAAAAACCAACAAAAGAGGAGAGAAATATGTTTTTATGTAAATGTGATTCTGGTTCAGTTAAGGTCGATGTACTTTCAGGATAAAAGCACAAACTTTGAATGGGGAATTTAGATGAAAGGATCATAGTTTTTAAATAATCGAACACAGAATAAAAACTGCTAGTTTGATATATATATATATATATATATTTTTTTTTTTAATTAATTTATTTATTTCATTTATTACCAAAACAGAAAAAAAAACAATACCACCAAATAAAATGAGGTTTCTCAAACCAAGAAAATGAAAAGGGAACAGAAAGAAGAAAACTTATGTTATCTGCCCCTTTTTAACTAAAATGACATCTTTACAATGAAATAACAATAATTATAAATTGGCCTATACAAAGTAATTGCTTGACTGGTTAGCTAACCCAAGTTCAATTTCCAAAGAAGAAAAAAAAAATTAATAGCAATAATAATTAAAAAAGCAAAAGGATTTTTGCACATTCATATATACATTAAAGTGCATCGCATGCCCATGTGGTCGCATATACTTCATTTATACATATACGTATAGATATACACATGTATACACTACATGTACACATTAACAAACATACATACATATTTATACATACACACATGAATATACCTACACACATCTTCTATAGCTTTATTTATTTATTTAGTATTTTTATGTATATAATTGCATGTATTTGATTTCAGTATTTCATTTTTAATTAGTTTTTTGAAAGGAAATATTGTTTTCGCGTCCTTGATTACATTACCTAGCTTATTCCATATTTTAACTCCATATATAGAGACAGAGCGCTCCTTTATAATCATTCTATACTTAGGTATTGTAAATAATTCATGTCCTTTTAGTTCATATTTACTCTGTCTTTTTATAAATCTTCTAAGTACATTTTTAGGAAGGGTTTTTTGTTTGCATTATACATAAATTTAGAAATATTGTAGTCCACTAGGTCATGGAATTTTAATGTTTTTGTTTTTATGAATAACGGGTTGGATGGAATAGCTGTAATTACTCCTTGTAATGATTCTTTTTGCTTTTTCTTTGCAATATATAGATAGAATTTGCATAAGTTTTATATGTTGTGCCCCAGATTTCTATACAATAGTTCAAATCTGGTGCAATAAGTGAACTATATAATAAATATAGGGTATTACCATCCATTGACCATTTTACTCTATGTAACATTGCAATTGTTTTAGCAGAACAGAAATCTGAAGTTGTGAGTAAAAAGATATTTGTCGTTTCTGCAGAAAACGAGACTGAGATCGGCGATCCTGCTGAGGTTTCGCTGTGGTACTTTAACAACACCGGCCTGGTGCGTACTTCCTGTTACTGTTGTCGTAAACATCTAAAGATCATGCATGTTTGGGTCTGTCCCGTGCAACCTGCAGGACTTTAGTCACGCTGCAGATCTTTCACCAGATGCAAAATCCAAAGCGAGGCCGTAAATAAGCGTTCTTCTTCTTGTTTAATATTTGCCTCGTTACAAAGTAAACAGAAACATGATAAGATAAGCCGAGTTTAAGGTTTTGTTTTCAACAACAAATCTTGGTTTCTAGCCCCTAAACTCAACCTGGTCGTCGCTCACGAGGTCAGAGTGCATCCAGTACAGAGGAGAGCTGGTAGGAGACGCCTGCGGCTCCGTCCCAGACATCACCCTCATGTCCTTCATCCTCTTCTTCGGTACCTACACCACCTCCATGTGTCTTAAGAAGTTTAAAACGAGTCCGTTTTTCCCCACCACAGTGAGTAGCAGCAGCAGTCTGAGATAAAAACACCAAACCAGCTCTGTGTAAACCAGTTTGCTGCTCGCTGATCCTTCATCCAGGTGAGGAAACTCATCAGTGACTTCGCCATCATCCTGGCCATCCTCATCTTCTGCGGGGTGGACGTGCTCGTGGGAGTCGACACTCCTAAGCTCATCGTGCCAAATGAATTCAAGGTGACCTTCAAGTGGTTTCACAGAATCCTTTATCTTTTTACGAGCTCATAAAAAGTCGTGACCTGAGAAGTTTGACCTTCTGCCTCCGACCCTCGTAGCCGACGAGCCCCCACCGAGGCTGGTTCGTGCCCCCGTTCGGAGGAAACCCGTGGTGGGTTTACCTGGCCTCAGCCCTGCCTGCTCTTCTCGTCACCATCCTGGTGTTCATGGACCAGCAGATCACCGCGGTGATCGTCAACAGGAAGGAGCACAAGCTGAAGGTAAAAAACAAGGCAGCGGTTAGAGATCCTGGAGGACGAGATGTTGGAGTGATTTATGAGAGGTTCCTCTGGGGTCGAGCCTGTTGTCTTCACACACTAGTTACATGTCTGTCTTCTCATGAGAGTGAGACTTGTTTCACCAGTCTGGCTGGTTCACTTCATACATGCACCTTCTGAATAATCCCAGAAACTTTTCTTCTGCAGTCAAATGAACCAGTCAGGCTGTTCGTGTATCTGCAGCTGTGCATTTGACCTTTGACCCTGTTTGTTGTCTGAATCAGAAAGGGGCAGGTTACCATCTGGACCTGTTCTGGGTGGCGGTTCTGCTGGTGGTTTGCTCTTTCATGGGTCTGCCGTGGTACGTGGCCGCCACCGTCATCTCCATCGCTCACATCGACAGCCTGAAGATGGAAACCGAAACGTCGGCTCCGGGAGAGCAGCCCAAGTTCCTGGGAGTGAGGTAGGGCCCGGAACCTCAGAGGTCCGATCCTCAACCGGGTCACGGTAAAAGACAAAACTCTGAATCCTGAAGCATCAAACGCAGGAGCGGCTGCAGGAGGAGGGAGAACCAGATGTCATTATCTTGGTGCTGCAGCGCCATCTATGGGTTGGGTGCAAACAAACGTTTCGTCAAACAAACAACAAAGTAAATCATTTTTAAAAGTTGCTCTTCTGCAGAAACGGTTTTCTCCTCGGTGTTTTCCCGAAACTTCAGATTAGTTGAAACGTTTTAGTCGATGAGAAGCATTTTGCTGTAAAGGTTCAGTAAAATCTTGTTTTTTTTCCATCGGGGATCTGTGGCACTGCTCATGTAGCTGGTTTAATCTTTTCTATGAAATAACTTTTAAAACTTGTTTTCATGACAGATTCGGTTCATTAATCGTTGCTCAAACCCTTTTTTTCCTCCTGTTTTTGTTTTTATCTCTGCCTGAAGCCGTCCGCTGCCTCCTGATGCGTCAGCTGTAAGCTGAGCTAATAAACGTGTGTGTGTGTGTGTGTGTGTGTGTGTGTGTGTGTGTGTGTGTGTGCACTTTGAACTTCCTACACGCATCGATGCTTTCTTTTGCTATCGGACTAAGATGGAACATAGAGTTATTTTTGTTTGACAATCATTTTTTGTAGCTCATCAGACTTTCAGTCGACTTTAACTGTAAAATAATAAAAATCAGGAATTGAAGTTGTAAGAATTCCTTTTCTCTGTTTTGCAGGGAGCAGAGGGTCACGGGGGTGTGTGTGTTCATCCTGACGGGACTTTCTGTGTTGATGTCTCCAATCTTAAAGGTAGTCAGACAAAATAAAAGTTGCTGAAATATTTTCTGCTGTGCATTTTATGTAAATAATCTATAAATGAGGTTTAGATGGATTTTGGTTTGTTAAAAGAACATTTGGTTTTCTGTTTTAATTAAAACTTGAAGTCAAATCGCATCAAATGAAGCAACACCGCCACCTACTGGTGTGGTTAAGCATCTGCAGCGCCCCTCCGGTCAGAAAACAGTTCATGAGTCTGAGATACGATAAAGACGATGATCAGTCAGAGATCTTTCACAAGCTTTGGATCAAAGAAGCAAAGGACAACGCTTCAGCCTCCAACTGAGGGTTTAACTCCCAGCCTCCTGCTGCGAATCAAAATCTTTTACCTTTTCTAAAGAAATTAAGTGATTGGAATCATTAGTTGCAGCTTTTTGGTTTGGTGGTTTTAAAGGTAAATTAGGAGATTCATCTGGATCTGGTCACATCCTTAAACAGGAAAACGATCCAGAATCTGGTGTCGGCAGAGCCCGGAGTCCTGACAGTAACAATTGGGAATGCTGGAGGGAATTCTCATCTGAAAACCTGGAAAAACTCACAGCCTGAATGAAAAAGTCTTCCAGACTGGACCTGATGTATAATATATATATATATATATATATCAACCCATCCATCCATTTTCGTCCGCTTATCTGGGGTCGAGTCGCAGAGGGAGCGGCCTAAGCCCAGACATCCTTCTCCCCAGCCACTATATATATATATATATATATATATATATATATATATATATATATATATATAGTGGCTGGGGAGAAGGAAGCCCAGACTTCCTTCTCCCCAGCCACTTGGGCCAGCTCCTCCGGGGAATCCCAAGGCATTCCCTGACCAGCCTAGACTCCCTCCAGCATGTCAACATCAACATCTATTAAAGCGTTAGTTCCAGTGACTCTGCAGATGTCGGCATGTCCGTCTTGTCTGTAATCATTTCTGTACGGTCTAATATCTTGTGTGTTTCCATGGAAACAAAAAGGTCCCAAGCCTTTGACCGTTAACCTTAAATCTGCAGCTTTTATGGCTTTCTGGACCTTCATCCAAACGATGCATTTAAACACGATGGGAAATTACAGCTGTGCTGTTTTAGACTCGGTTTTGATGAGTTAATTGATTATTTACACCCAGTTTTGTTTTTAGATGTTAACCATAAGTGCAGAAATTAAACCTGACAGGTGGGATGTGAGTGCTTATTTATCTGTTTCTCCATCAGTTCATCCCCATGCCTGTGCTCTACGGAGTCTTCTTATACATGGGAGTGGCGTCTCTTAACGGAGTTCAGGTAAGTTAAAGCCCTTCTTCCACCTCCACTTGGAGTCAGACATGTTTGTAGTTCTTGTTTTGGGCTTAGACCATGCAGCAGATTAGCTGCCTCGTGAATATTTATCATTTCTCCGTGTCGCTCCCAGAATAAAAGCTGCTCCTGAGTCTGGACCTGGTGGTTCTGAGTCCAGCTTCAGGAGCAGAAGCTTGATCATCAGACCCGTCTCTGGTGGAACGTCTCTTTTTCCTTTGAAGACCAACTTTAAAAGCGTCTTTTTAGTTCAGCTTTGATCTCATTTTTCACCTTTTTTTAAAAAAAGTACGTTTATTTATTTTTACTGCATCGGTTTCATAATAACTTCTGGTTGTTTTATTGTCTGTGAAACACTGGAGCGTCTCAGAGCTTTTAAGTTTGACACAAACAGTTCAGTGAAATGTAAAAGTGCTGCAGAAATCCTGAACCGGCTCAGCTGTTGGTGATGTATTTATCTGGACTGTGTCTGTAGTTCATGGACCGACTGAAGCTGCTCCTGATGCCGGCGAAGCATCAGCCCGACCTGATTTACCTGCGCCACGTTCCCCTCAGGAAGGTCCACCTCTTCACCTTCATGCAGATCATCTGTCTGGCTCTGCTCTGGATCCTCAAGTCCACCGTGGCTGCCATCATATTCCCCGTCATGGTAGACGTCATCCTGAAATTCAGCAGCAGCACCTTCAGATCAGTGTCATTTATTATGAATGGGTGGACTTTTCCGTTCTGTCACCTGTGAGAGAAGATCCCCAAACCTTTCCAAGTTCAAACTAAATGAGCTTAGATTTATAACTGGTTCTAGTTTTTAACTCGGAAATATAACATTCATAAAATAGTTAATACTAAATGTTAAACTATTTTTACAAGTTTCAAAAATCTAAGTTTTTTGCGGATGATGTGGTCGTCCTAGCTTCATCCACCTCTGACCTTCAGCTCTTGCTGGGTAGGTTCACGGCCGAGTGTGAAGCGGCTGGGATGAGGATCAGCACCTCCAAATCTGAGACCATGGTTCTCGACCGGAAAAGGGTGGCTTGCCAAATCCGGGTCGGGGGAGAGGTCCTACCTCAAGTGGAGGAGTTTAAGTATCTCGGGGTCTTGTTCACGAGTGAGGGTAGGAGGGATCGGGAGATCGACAGGCGGATCGGCTCAGCGTCTGCAGTGATGCGGACGCTGAACCGATCTGTCGTGGTGAAGAGGGAGCTGAGCCAGAAAGCCAGGCTCTCGATTTACCGGTCGATCTACGTCCCAATCCTCACCTATGGTCATGAGCTTTGGGTAATGACCGAAAGAACGAGATCGTGGATACAAGCGGCCGAAATGAGTTTCCTCCGTAGGGTGGCCGGGCTCAGCCTTAGAGATAGGGTGAGGAGCTCGGACATTCGGGAGGGACTCGGAGTAGAACCGCTGCTCCTCCGGATCGAAAGGAGTCAGTTGAGGTGGTTTGGGCATCTGGTCAGGATGCCTCCTGGACGCCTCCCTGGGGAGGTGTTTCGGGCATGTCCTGCCGGCAGGAGGTCCCCGGGTCGACCCAGGACACGTTGGAGAGGTTACATCTCCAATCTGGTCCGGGAACGCCTTGGGGTCCTGCCGGAGGAGCTGGTGGAGGTGGCCGGGGAGAGGACGGTCTGGATCTCCCAAGTTGGGATGCTGCCTCCGCGACCTGGACCCGGATAAGCGGAGGAAGACGACGACGACGAAAAATCAAAGTTTGTGTTTGAGGCTCTTATTGTGAAGGAATGAAGGAAGTTATTTGCATTTCACCTTGGGACGCTGCAGAAGTAGCCAAAGCCTTCACCTCATGAAAAAAGCTGATTTATTAAATATTTTACCATTAAAACATGCTCAGAACCTGAAGTTCTGGAGAACTTCCTCCTGCTGCGTTCATGCTTTTATACCTGGAAATAGAATTCAGGAAACTTTCTTTTTGGTTATTATTATTTTTTACCTCCAGTCTTTTTAAAACTCCAGGAGGCACTAACGAGCCTTCATATCCGAGGCAGAACTTTATCATTTCTGTTATTTTCAATCTAAAATTCCACGAGGGTGACCTCATCTAAGCTGTTTTATTGTGAAAGTCTGTCTGGTGGTTTCAGATCCTGGCTCTGGTTGCTGTGAGGAAAGCGATGGATTACATGTTCTCCCAACACGACCTCAGCTTCCTGGATGACGTCATTCCAGAGAAGGACAAGAAGAAGAAGGAGGACGAGAAGAAGAAGAAGAAGAAACGCAGCAGCATCGACAGCGACGCTGAAGATGTGAGATTCACAAATTTAAATTCTTCTTTTCCTCGAGATCCAAAAACAAACGACCTTTATTTCTCCCTTCTGACAACTTTTCCCTTCGCCCGTCGAGCCGAGTGATGCCTCCGGTCCTGATGCGATTCCCACCTGATCGTTTTTTGAATTATAAATAATAAAAGGCAGAAGGTCCGGTCTCAGGACGTGTTTCCTCTCTCCAACAGTCTGACTATCCTTACAGTGAGAATGTTCCCAGCATTAAGATTCCCATGGACATCATGGAGCAGCAGCCTTTCTTAGGTGATAAATCCTCTGAGCGTGAGTAAACCCGACTGGATAAAACTGTAGGAGAACCACTCGTCCTCCTCTTCCATGTTTCTGATGTTGTCCAGCTGCTCTGGTCTTTAGCTCCCTGTCGCTGCATGGAATTAACCTTTTCTTTTGATTTTCCTGTTTCCATCTGGGCTTTTGTGATCTGTTATTCGTTTTTTTTTTTTTTTGCTTTCTTGCATGTTTATTCTAACAATTTTCACCTACTTGTGTGTTTTTCTTAGTTCAGAAAGCTTTTAAAGCAGTAACGTCACACTTAAGACGTTTTTATTAGGGATGAGCGTTTCAGACGCGTGTCCGGTACGGATAAAGCATTTTTGACGAGTACGAGCATGAAACGAGTAAAACTCTTAAATATCTGTAATGGTGCTGACGGAAAATCCTCATTGGGTAACTGACTGTCTTCACGCTCTGTGATTGGCCAGTCAAATAGAGTGCCCGCCCCTCCCTACACACAAAACTCTGCAGCCGGGAGCTCACAGCTCAGTCCGCGTCCGGTCCATCCACGCATGCACGCACGCACGCACGCACGCACACACGCACGCACGCACGCACACACACACACACACACACACACACACACACACACACACACACACACACACACACACACACACAGTAACGGATCTCTGTGCTTGCTTCACTGTTCACGTTTCTCCAGTACTCCCTGTTTTCTTCAGTTTGACTTAAAAGTTATTTAAAGTTACTTTTTTCGTAACGTACGTGGTGCATTTGACGAGACAGAGCTGAAAACGGCTCGTGCTGCGTCAGTTACTGCCTCCGCACCGGTCGGGTTTTTTTTTCTCTCTCTCTCTCTCTCCTCTTCCTCAGGATCCACTCCCTCTTTCCTATTCACTCTCTCTCTTTCTTTACATTTTTTAATCACAATTGTCAATTTTTTGCTCATTTTAAATATATTTTAATCATTTTCTAAATTATTTTTTCTATTTTACATGTTTTGTTTTTGTGAAGCGCCCCGTGATTTTTATCTTGAGAGGCGCTATAGAAAAGATCTTTTCTTCTCTCTCTCTCTTAATTCATGCACTTAAATGTTAATGTTCTGATTTTATTGAAAAACTTGTTCTGTAATAGTTCTTTTACTATTGTGATCAAAAACATTTAATCTCAACTATGAGGCTGCTCTGCAAATAGTTTTCAAATAAACAATACACATAGCAACTTCTGATCAGACTTAAAATAACGTATTGATATAAACCACACCCACTTCCGGTTAAACTACACCCACTTCCGGGTTAGGCCACGCCTACTCCGAGTACAGATACAGATAGTGGTGTAGTCGCTCATCCCTAGTTTTTATCAACACAGAACGTCAGGAAGGAATCCTGATTTATCATCTTTAATAACGTAGTGTGGCGCTGCCTACGCGTTTAGCTGTTTCTCCTTCCACAGATGGACGATCCTCACGAGTTCCACCTCATGGCCTCATGCCCCTCCCAATGGTTACTGCTCTATCACTAGACTTTAGTAAGTTACTGCATAAAAAGCTTTCTGTAAAACTCCAGAACCGAATGCATCTGATCAGAAACACACTCGACACTAAACTTAAAAAGTGCAAAAACGACGGGAGACCATTCTGCAGGTTTTCAGTCTGAACTCCGGTCTGAGGCCTAGTCCACACGTAGCCGGGGTTTTTTAAAAACGAATATCCGCCCCTCCAAAAACTTGCATCCACAACACCGCTTAAAAAAAACAAACTCTGTCCACACGTACCCGGATAAATACGTTGTTAAGGACATGCCAGACCTGTAGGCGGCAGTACTTCCCCCGTTCTTAACCTCGTCCTTCGTCTGTGGTCTTCCGCAAGGAGCAGTAATTCCTCTTGCAAAAACAAACAAGCAGAAAGCACTTGGACAGTTGATGGATCGGGTAGTGACAGAGCGCAGCTCTGAGGGCTTCCATGATGTCGGCTAGTGTAAACACAGGTCGCACACGTGATGTCAGCATTTTTTTGTCGTGGAAAATGACGTTGCGGACCTTAAAACTCCGGTTTTGTCCGTCCACACGCAGACACCCAAAACAGAGAAAACGCAGATCTTCACTTTGGCCGGAGTTTTTAAAAAGATCCGTTTTCGTGTGAAAAAACTCCGTTTTCGTGTGGATAACAGGCCAAAACGTAGAAAAATATCTACGTTTTGGCAGATCCCCGGCTACGTGTGGACAGGGCCTGAATCGGTGTCTCTTCTGATTTTATTCTTCAGATTTCAGATGCTTATGATCTAAAACACTTTCCAGACAAATAAAACACAACTTCTAAACTCTTTGACTTTGGACTGAACGCCTTCTTAAGGTCTGAAGCTTTGTGGATTTTTCCTCACAGCTGATCTGTGTTTTCCTCCCATAGGAGACAAGCCCCAGTCCTACCTTGATCGCCACACATCGTGCTGAGAAGCTGCGCTACTATCAGGACTACCTGGACAGGTGAGTGTGTGGCTGAGACCCAGAAAAACGCCTGAAAACCAGAAACGAGTTGTAAAGATGCGGCCGAACAGAGAGGTCGAGCTCGTAAAAGGTCAGCACTAAAACTCGATGCTGGTCTGACCTCTGAAGGTCACGCGGGCTAATCAGCTGACCTTTAGCTAAACAAGTTTCCAGCAGGAAGCAGAGCGCCTGGCGCCACGCCCGTGGTTCTAGATTCACCTGCAGGAATCCGTCGTCACAAGAATAAAAAAATCCAAGGTCTGTTGTCGTTGCTGACATGATAGTTTAGGTAGAAAGAAAGGGTTTGGGTTAGCTTCCTCTCAGGGCCATTAGCATAAACGACACAGGGACTTAGGTCACTATTACACCACTTCACCCCGCTTCTCCTCCAGCTTCACTGGCTGCCAGTCAACTTCAGGGTTCATTTCAAGATCCTGGTTCTGGTCTATAGGGCCTTACATGGACAAGCACCATCTTACATTGGTGATCTTCTTAGTCCCTACACCTCCAGCAGGTCCCTGAGGTTCAGTGATCAAAGCCTACTGGTTGTGCAGCACCAGGCTAAAGGTCAAAGGTGACGGATCATTTGCTGCTGTGGCCCCCAGACTCTGGACCTCTCTCCCCCTGAGCCTGAGATCTGTGGACTCAGTGGTCTCCTTTAAAAAGCAGCTGAAGACTCACTTGTTCAAGCTGGCTTTTGTATGACCTTCTTCACCACTCTCTCTTTATTCTGCTCTCCCCACCTATTCCACCTTCCTCAGGATCCACTGATTTCCCTCTTTTCTGTTCACTCTCTCTCTTTCGTAACATTTTTTTAAATCACAATTGTCTATTTTTGCTCATTTTAAATATATTTTTAAACATTTTCTAAATGCTTTTTTATATTTTTACATGTTTTGTTTTTGTGAAGCGCCTCGTGATTTTTATCTTGAGAGGCACTATAGAAATGATATTTTCTTCTTCTTCTTCTTCTTATTATTATTATTATTACCACAACTACACACTAAGCTAAAAAAGACACAAAAATACAATAAAAACTAATAAAAACATTTAAAACAACAATAAGCACATTCACTCAGACAGTCACAGCAGCCTGGTGCGTGGGATTAATAATCCAGTTCAGCTTTTCCACAAGCTGGTGTGGAATGCTTTCGGGTCCTGTTGCTTCGGAGGTGTAGACCTCCCTCACGCCACCTACTGACAGCTGGAGCATCTGCTCGTTGGGTGGTACAGTTCGGATTGAACTAAAAACGTTAAGCAGCTGCATGAAGAAAGGTTTCTAGTATTTATCCCTCTGCAGGCAGAGAGCACGTCACCAACCTGTTTCCTGTCTGGCGTTTCATTTCAACGTTTTATTGTGAAGCTGCTGGGATCTCATTAAAAACCCAAAACAATCTCAGCCTCTGTTGAGGGAAGCATGGCTTTATAGATGAGGCTTTCAGCTGGTTGGACACATGCCCGTTTGAATCAGAACCGTTGAACTGAGTTTGAACTTTAGATTATTGTAAATTAATCTCTTTGGAATAAAAATGCAGCAAAATTGCTTTAAACTCAGTCGACCTCAGATTGTGTTTTTTTACTCAAATATCAGTGAGAACACGTCCAGATAGCTTCTGATTTCAGGTTAAACGTGATTATTTAGTGGAGGACGTTATAAACCATCAGTTATTTATTTATCTGATGCAAAAATCTGATTTTATTCAAAGTTAAATTTAAAGCAGCTTCAGATTCATGAAAGACATCTGTTCCAGAAAAAAATGTTTTGTTTCGGGAGCTCACACACACACACACACACACACACACACACACACACACACACACACACACACACACACACACACACACACACACACACACACACACACACACACACCACACACACACACACACACACACACACACACACACGCACGCACGCACACACACACACACGCACACACACTCTCACACACACACGTACACACACACGCATGCGCACGCACACATGCACACTCTCTCACACACACACACACACACGCGCACACACTCGCGCACACAGTTCAAATTTCACCTGTTGTGGTTTTCAGTGATATTTCTAACAGATGGGATTAATGAGCCAACGATGCTGGAAAGAATCAGCCCGCTGAGTCGTTGCTTTAGGTTTTATTATTGAGTAAATGATTGATCAGATTTTTCACCTCTGGACTTTAGTAAAGTTTCAGGGTGAGTTTGCTCACAGAAACATGACAACAGGTATGCATGTGTGTGTGTGTGTGTGTGTGTGTGTTTTCTCAGCCCTGAGATGACTCCTCTGAAGTCTGTGCCTCAGATCAGGATCGATATGGATCCAGAAGATGAAAACACGTTCTACTGGAGGAGCCAAGGATCAGAAACGTCTCTGTAGAAGATCCTCAGCATCCAGGCAACCTGCAGCGTCTTTTACTGACTTTAAATTGGTTTAAACGTCATGATTTCAGACTTTGTTTTGAATCAGTGGCTGAAAAAGGGAAGATTTTTTTAATGATCAAACACTTTCCAGCATTTCTGTTTTCAGCTTCGGAGTGAAATCTCATCTGTGCAAATCCGTCCGTGTGTCAGTGAAAGCTGCAGCGCCCTGATGAAACGCGAGTGCCCGCCACACCCTTTTATACACAAATATAACCTTTTCTTAAGTTTTATATCAGCTGAATTAATAACGATTTCCTCTAGCAGGAAGAGGAAGTTTTATAGCTCTACCTCTTGTTTTAGGTTCTTCTGATGTGACGATTCCTGATGGAGTTTTGATATTTTCAGTTTTCTTTCATAGAGTTTAATTAACTTAAAAGATTTGTTGTATTATAGTTTGTAAAGAAGATAGAACTATACGTAAATTAACAGAGAATTAACGGTTTGTGTACAGATGTGAATATTTTTATCCTCACTTATTGATGCACTTCTGATCATTTCACCTTCTTTCTAACTTAAATTTGTTAAAATTTTATTACTTTGTTGAAGTCTAATGTTTCTGTATTTTTGTTTAGCTTTTTAAAAAAAGAATAATGATCTTGTTTCTTACTTTTCCTGTTCAGCGTAATCAAAATATGTTCTGAGTTTCCTCCTCAGCTCAGAAAACAAATCAGAGAAGTGACCTAAGTGACTTAAACAGATTAGGCTTAAGCTGCATCCACAAAGGTAACACAAGCAGGATTAAAGCAAGAATGAAGCTCTGAAGAGGAACCCCCCCACATCTGTTTTATGTGATTTTTTTTGTGTATGTTTTCAGTTTTACGTTGTGTTTAGACTTTTATACGACACTGATGTTTGAGTCTGTGGAGGCGGAAAAACGTCAGCCAGCTTTGTTTGATGGTCATCATGGAAGCATAAAGTTATTGATGGATCCTTACACCAAACTAAAGCTGCTAAAACACAACAGAAAATCTAAATGAATCATATTTAGACTTTTTAACAACTTGAGACTTTTAAAAATAAATAATTAAAACAACAAATCTGATTTGTTTCCCAATAACAGAGAAATGTTCAGCTGCAGCTTTGAATCAAGCCAGATGAATTCCTGAGTGAAGCTAGATGATAAAACCCAGCTCTCTAATGAGAAATAAAAACAGCTTTAGGGAACATTTGTAATAAATATATTAGATTTTGCACAATAGAAACACGTGCAAAAGGAGATGGCGTCTTTTGCACACCATTCTAACTTGTGCATACTTGATTCCAGTTTTCCACACTAGCAAAGGGATGCTGCACCAAGATAAAAAAGGGAAAATAATTTGCACTTCAGATAAGCTGTTGAGTACACAGCTTAGCATCTAATTAGCTAAATGCACACTGCACAATATATGGTAACTTTTGCACACTAGATTGCATCTAATTAGTAGAAAATATGATTTTCTTATAGGACCGGGTATGTATTGTGCTCTTATAATTCTAATTTGAAGATGATGTGTAATTGTGAGGACCAGCAAATGCCGTGTGAACATAATCTAATTTGATACTAACTTGTGAACACTGGATACTATTGAGTCACACATTTATTCATGTGTCCCGTTAGGGGCTCCATGTTAAGATTAAAGTTTTTCTTGTGAATTTCTATCAATCAACACTCCAACTACGGAGGAAGGAGAATGAATGTGTGAAACAGACATGTTAATGAGAAATGAGAGTTATCCTATAACTTCAACTCAACAAACCAAACTGCTCCCTGCTGAAGCACTTTCTCACTTTATGGGTTTAATCCGAAACAGGAAGTCTTTGTGTTTATTATCATTGTAGAAATAAAGCTTCGTTCTCTGTTAGTCATGAACAGATGAACGGATCAGAACCCCACAGGTGACCTTGTTCTAGCAGAAATCTTCCCACCAGTTTTGCTCCACATACACTTTCAGGAAGCTTTCTGTTTGGTTTGATTTGTGTCATGTTGTTGAAGCATGTCTTTCAAAAACTGCAACATGATAAAAAGAAGATGAGAGAGAAGTGAAGATGGATACCTTTTGTGATTAACGTTTGTTACTTTCTAGGTGAAATGGTTTATTTCAGAATATATACTTTTCAAATGAATTGTATATTAAAAATAAACAGCTTTCAGACATTGATGGTGTTGTGTCCTTCAGTCCGTGATAAAAGACAAAAAGTGACATGGCTACAACTGAAGAAAAACTACTTAAATGTATCCATCACAGGAAAAAACAGACATGTGAGAAAGGTGCTTGTCCTTTGATGGTCTTCTGGATGGTCACAAATGTAACAAATAATTAGTTTTAACAGTGAAGGTTAAAAAAATTGAGGAAAAAAGGAATGAAAATGAAAAACTTTAGATTAACTGTGTATCTAAAGGAGATACAAAACATATAAAGTATGTGGTAGATTTGAAGAAAAGTGAAATGAACTAATTTATCCTTCAATGTGTTTGTTAAAAAAGGACTACTCTTCACACTGATGCAATAGCCTCCCCTGGTGTCCATCAGAAGTGAATACAAAACAAAGAAACAATATCTGTTATATAAACATCATACATTAAAATAAGCCATGATAACATGAAAAAGCATCCATTAGTATATGTCCTGAAAACATGATAAAACACCATACATTAGTTTGTGTCATGAAAACATGAAATAAAATCATACAACAATAGAAATTTTGAAAACATGATAAAACATCAAACAGTACGTGTTATGAAAACATGAAAAAACATACATTAGTATGTGTGATGAAAACATTAAAAAAAATCATACATTACAATGTGTCATGAAAACATGATAAAAACATCATACATTAGAATGTGTCATGAAAACATGAAAAAAACATCATACATTAGAATGTGTCATGAAAACATGATGAAAACAATACATCAGTGTGTGTCATGAAAACATGATAAAAATATCATACGTTAGTTTGTGTACTGAAAACGTGATAAAACGTCATGAAAACAAGATAAAAACATCTTACATTAGTATGTGTCATGAAAACATGATAAAAACAATACATCAGTGTGTGTCAAGAAAACATGATAAAAACATCATACATTAGTATGTGTCATGAAAACATGATAAAAACGTCATGAAAACATGATAAAAACATCATACATTAGTATGTGTCACGAAACATGAAAAACATATCATACATTAGAATGTGTCATGAAAACATGATAAAAACATACATTAGTATGTGTCATGAAAACATGAAAAATATATCATACATTAGAATGTGTCATGAAAACATTATAAAAACATCATACATTAGTATGTGTCATGAAAATATTGGTAAAAATATCATACATTAGTTTGTGTACTGAAAACGTGAAAAAACGTCATGAAAACATGATAAAAACATCATACATTAGTATGTGTCATGAAAACATGATAAAAACAATACATCAGTGTGTGTCATGAAAACATGATAAAAACATCATACATTAGTATGTGTCATGAAAATATGATAAAAACATCATACATTAGTATGTGTCATGAAACATGAAAAACATATCATACATTAGAATGTGTCATGAAAACATGATTAAAACATCAAACATTAGACTGTGTCATGAAAACATGATAAAAACATACATTAGTATGTGTCATGAAAACATGAAAAATATATCATACATTAGAATGTGTCATGAAAACATTATAAAAACATCATACATTAGTATGTGTCATGAAAACATGATAAAAAATCATACATTATTATGTGTCATGAAAACATGAAAAATATATCATACAATAGAATGTGTCACGAAAACATGATAAAAACATCATACATTAGTATGTGTCATGAAAACATAAAAGATATATCATACATTAGTATATGTCATGAAAACATGATAAAAACATCATACATTAGTATGTGTCATGAAAACATGAAAAATATATCATACATTAGAATGTGTCATGAAAACATGATAAAAACATCATACATTAGACTGTGTCATGAAAACATGATAAAAACATCATACATTAGTATGTGTCATTAAAACATGAAAAATATATCATACATTAGAATGTGTCACGAAAACATGATAAAAACATCATATATTAGTATGTGTCATGAAAACATAAAAAATATATCATACATTAGAATGTGTCACGAAAACATGATAAAAACATCATACATTAGTATGTGTCATGAAAACATGATAAAAACATCATACATTAGAATATGTCATGAAAATATGATAAAAACATAATACATTAGAATGTGTCATGAAAACATGATAAAAACATCATACATTAGTATGTGTCATGAAAACACGAAAAATATATAATACATCAGGATGTGTCATGAAAATATGATAAAAATATCATACATTAGAATGTGTCACGAAAACATGATTAAAACATCATACATTAGTATGTGTCATGAAAACATAAAAGATATATCATACATTAGTATGTGTCATGAAAACATGATAAAAACATCATACATTAGTATGTGTCATGAAAACATGAAAAATATATCATACATTAGAATGTGTCATGAAAACATGATAAAAACATCATACATTAGACTGTGTCATGAAAACATGATAAAAACATCATACATTAGTATGTGTCATGAAAACATGAAAAATATATCATACATTAGAAAGCGTCACGAAAACATGATAAAAACATCATACATCAGACTGTGTCATGAAAACATGATAGAAACATCATACATTAGTATGTGTCATGAAAACATGATAAAAACATCATACATTAGAATATGTCATGAAAATATGATAAAAACATAATACATTAGAATGTGTCATGAAAACAATATAAAAACATAATACATTAGAATGTGTCATGAAAACATGAAAAAAACATCATACATTAGTATGTGTCATGAAAAAGTGATAAAAACATCATACATTAGTATGTGTCATGAAAACATGAAAAATATGTCATTTATTAGAATATGTCATGAAAACATGATAACATCATACATTAGAATGTGTCATGAAAACATGATAAAAACATCATATATTAGTATTTGTCATGGAAACATGATAAAAACATCATACATTAGAATATGTCATGAAAATAAGATGAAAACATAATACATTAGAATGTGTCATGAAAACAAAATAAAAACATAATACATTAGAATGTGTCATGAAAACATGATAAAAACATCATTTATTGTGTCATGAAAACATAATAAAAACGTCATACATTAGAATATGTCATGAAAACATGATAAAAACATCATACATTAGAATGTGTCATGAAAACATGATAAAAACATCATACATTAGTATGTGTCACGAAAATATGATAAAAACATCATGCATTAGAATGTGTCATGAAAACATGACAAAAACATCATACATTAGAATGTGTCATGAAAACATGAAAAAAATATCATACATTAGAATATGTCATGAAAACATGATGAAAACATCATGCATTAGTATGTGTCATGAAAACAGGAAAAACATATCATACATAAGAATGTGTCATGAAAACATGATAAAAACATCATACAATAGAATGTGTCATAAAAATATGATAAAAACATAATACATTAGAATGTGTCATGAAAACAAAATAAAAACATAATACATTAGAATGTGTCATGAAAACATGAAAAACATCATACATTAGTATGTGTCATGAAAACATGACTAAAAAAATCATACATTAGTGTGTGTAATAAAAACATGATAAAAACATCATACATTAGTATGTGTAATGAAAACATGAAAAATATATCATACATTAGAATGTGTCATGAAAACATGATAAAAACATCATACATTAGTATGTGTCATGAAAACATGAAAAATATATAATACATCAGGATGTGTCATGAAAATATGATAAAAATATCATACATTAGAATGTGTCACGAAAACATGATAAAAACATCATACATTAGTATGTGTCATGAAAACATAAAAGATATATCATACATTAGTATGTGTCATGAAAACATGATAAAAACATCATACATTAGTATGTGTCATGAAAACATGAAAAATATATCATACATTAGAATGTGTCATGAAAACATGATAAAAACATCATACATTAGACTGTGTCATGAAAACATGATAAAAAAATCATACATTAGTATGTGTCATGAAAACATGAAAAATATATCATACATTAGAATGTGTCACGAAAACATGATAAAAACATCATACATCAGACTGTGTCATGAAAACATGATAAAAACATCATACATTAGTATGTGTCATGAAAACATGATAAAAACATCATACATTAGAATATGTCATGAAAATATGATAAAAACATAATACATTAGAATGTGTCATGAAAACATTATAAAAACATAATACATTAGAATGTGTCATGAAAACATGAAAAAACATCATACATTAGTATGTGTCATGAAAAAGTGATAAAAACATCATACATTAGTATGTGTCATGAAAACATGATAAAAACATCATACATTAGAATATGCCATGAAAATATGATAAAAAAAATAATACAATAGAATGTGTCATGAAAACAATTTAAAAACATAATACATTAGAATGTGTCATGGAAACATGAAAAAAAATCATACATTAGTATGTGTCATGAAAAAGTGATAAAAACATCATACATTAGTATGTGTCATGAAAATATGATGAAAAAATAATACATTAGAATGTGTCATGAAAACATAAAAAATATATCATACTTGAGAATGTGTCACGAAAACATGATAAAAACATCATACATTAGACTGTGTAATGAAAACATGATAAAAACATCATACATTAGTATGTGTCATGAAAACATGAAAAATATATCATACATTAGAATGTGTCATGAAAACATGATAAAAACATCATACATTAGACTGCCATGAAAACATGATAAAAAACATACATTAGTATGCATAATGAAAACATGATAACAACATCATACATTAGTATGTGTCATGAAAACATGAAAAATATGTCATTTTTTAGAATATGTCATGAAAACATGATAACATCATACATTAGAATGTGTCATGAAAACATGATAAAAACATCATATATTAGTATTTGTCATGAAAACATGATAAAAACATCATACATTAGAATATGTCATGAAAATATGATGAAAACATAATACATTAGAATGTGTCATGAAAACAAAATAAAAACATAATA